ATCCTTATCTGCTCTTCTTATCTGAAAGCGTGTTGAACACTTCTTGTAAAAATGGCGATACAGACTCTGAGTTCCAACAAACTGCTGCTCGGTGAATTCACCGCGCTCTGATTTAGTTTGTTCCAGACAGAAACAGAACAGACCACCTCAGGACTGTTCAGGTTCAGATAAGCTCCCCAAAAGCTGCTCTGGTGACAGAAGTCACGCGTGGGTCTCCTGAAAGTGTTTGAGACACTTTATTAAATCTACTAAAAAAAACGGATCCTTTCCCAGATCACATCTGTAATAAACACATCCTCGCTTGTTCGGACCGTAGTTTCCCTGTAAAGCTTCATTCGGCTCTAAAGTGACGCTTTTTACTTTACCTCATGCGTGCTTAATCTAAGAGAGAGCGAGGGGTAAAATGCAGCACCGATATGAATAAAAGCCTGAAGCACCGGCGTGAGGCCGACTGTTGACACAGATCAGAAACTTCATGCTTCATTTCCTTTTGTTTATTTTTTAAAGGGACGTTACAGAGTTTTGAATTTTTATGCTCGTTATTGCCCCCTCAGGCCAAAAGCGTAAAAGCAGCTTCAATAGTAGGCTCGTGCACGAGGCGCACATGCTGTACGTGCACACTCCTTAACGAAAATAACAGCTGAGACAGTCCTGTGTGTGTGTGTGTGTGTGTGTGGCCCAGAGGACAGAGGACAGAAGAACTAATTAAATAATGTGGTTCTGTAGCTTTCTCTTCAGCACAGCCGACAAAGGTTTATGATGGGTCAGTCCTCCTGCATGCTCAGATCATTCCCTTCCCTTGCTTGAAAAATTGTTCCAAAATGAAAGTTGAACCCACATCTTTTTTATCTGTGAATTCAACGCCGTTCGACGAGTCTCAAATAAAAATTTGGGCATCTTACTGTAAAAAAATATATCATTAATGTAAAAAATAATCTCTAAATAAACTATGTTCACATCCAGAATCAAACCCAGGCCTCCTGCATGGGAATTTGACATCTTACTAGGTGAGCTAAAGCACCAGTGACATCCTTTGTATCTGTAACATTTATATCCTTGATGACAGCTGAAACAACGTTCAAAGAACGGTTCGGAGTGAAAATGGCTATTTTGTTGCTAATTAGCAGGAAATATCTAGAAGAAAGTTCTACAGAAAGTAGCTAAGGGTCCTCAGAAATGTAGCTAGCTTTGTCACTAGGCGTTAGGAACAGCGACAAAGTGGCACTGCCTCTCTCTCTGCTGCTAAAGCTACGGATAGCAAACGCTACGGGCGATGCCTGAGCGTGAACGCGCATGAAGCAGCCTGCTCGACCCGAGCATCTCTCTTTTTCTGTGATTTTACAGAAAAACAGGCAATCACAGTAAAAATGCCAGGGCTCATTCTACAGGACCAGGGCATCGCAGGAGAATGTATGAAGAAGACATTTATTAGTTCTATACATGTTTTGGCTGTCACACTTCCACAATGTCCCTTTAATTCCATTCTCGTCACCCCAAGTGCTTTAAATGAAACCTCCCGGGTCACTTTGATTAATAACAGGCACAAATGGGTTATTTCGTGTTTTATCATTTAATCCTGTTTAGGAGTAAATTCCACTCTGTTGCTACGGCTTCCTGTGATCCTAGAGCCATAAAGGTTTTATCACACCTAATGAGCACGCTTCTTCCTCCATCTGAAAGGTCATGTCATGCTGACTGACGTCTGGTGAGACTGTCACACACACACACACACACACACACACACACACACACACACACACACACACACACACACACACACACACACACACACACACACACACACACACACACACCTGCACTGAAAATCAATGCGTCGAATCTGAAATTCTTCCATTTAGACCTGACTGTAAAGGCTCTTAGCCAGAAGAGAGTGTGTGTGCACACACTGACGGCTGGGTGCCATCACCGTGGTAACTGATGCCAAGCACCAGGTGAGAGGAACTTGAGATGAAGTGGGGAGTCAGGTCAGTGCAGGAGCAGGGGATCAGCGGGAAAACAGCACGCCAGTCCGCTCCTATTAAAGTCACAGCGCGACACGCTGTTTCTGGGGGCGGAGTCAGCCTAATGACGCTCTTCCACCACCTGAACAAGACCTGTTGTCACTGATGTTCTGTTATTGTTGATTGGAGCTGCTGGTCCTTTCTGTTATAATCTGATTACTTAAAGAGCAAGTCACCCCCAAATCAACTTTTTTTTTCCTGATAAACTATATAAATGAGTGTCTAATCGTGCTGCAGACACGTGTAATCAATAGTTTAGTACTTTAGTGCATCTTAGTAAAAATTTAAACTTTCTGTCTAAAACAGTCAGTGTTGTGCCGTTGTCAGGTAAAAACTCTGCACTGCATTTGAATTTAAATCTGCCATCGCTATTGGCTAAGAGGTACCCTAGAATGTTAGCTGGTACCATATGATGTCACAATGTCGTTGTGAGCCTGCGTGTGTGTGTATTTGTTGGCGGCTCCGCCCTCTCGGTCTGCTAGGCAACAGCATTTGTTACATTTTCAAACAGGAAGTGGGAGTGGAGTAATACTCTGGCAGGGGGTGACTTGCTCTTTAAACATCAGGTTAGGGGTCTGAGACCTTCACAATCGAA